TAGGGAAAGCTTTTCAGGGTATGCAATAGCTGAGCTGAACACTGAAGGTCAAACAGTTTGCAGGTAAAGAGAGAAAGGGAAGGGATAGCAGGTCAGGCAGAAGAGACAAGGGTAAGGGCAGGGAGGCAGGAAGCAGCATGGTACCTGAGGCTGAATGTATTTCCATGCATTACTGGAGAACAGAGTGGAAGAAAAAGAGGCAGGAGACATGGGGCTGAGAGGTCCTAGAGCATGGAGTTTGGGTGTCAAGCTAAGATGGTTAGACTTGATTCAAGGAAGGATAATAGGGAGCCAAGGAAAGCTTGAGCAGGAGAGCACGGAATCTGTTGCCACTTGGGATTGCAGAAAGTGGTTTGACTAGGGTAGGACTAGAGCAAGGAGGCCCGGAGGAGGCTGGGTAGCCGTGCAGGAGTGGAGAGGTGGTGCCAGACTGGGGTGATGTGAGGAGGAGAAATGGTCCCACTCTTAGGAGTATGGGTCCAGAGAACTACACAGCTGGAAGGGTTCTGAGGCTAGTCAGTTCCTTCTATTCCTTTTCACAAAAGCTGGCTTTGAGGTTTTTAGGAAGCATGGAAGAGAAGCCCTCAGTCTCATAGCAGGTGAGCTTGGGGCTCAATACTGGAATTGAGCTTCACATATTCTTAACTCCAAGCTCACTTCAGAACCCAGTCCCCACAACATGAATATCACTACTAACCACAATTACTGAAATATCTAATAACAGCCTCGCTCTGTGCTAAGCTCTGCACTTGGCATACCAGACGTAAAGATCTCATTAAATCCCCCCAATATTCTGAAGGGTGAGAACTCTCCATTTTACAGATGAGGAGCCTGAGACTTAGAAATTCAAGCAAATTGAAGCTGAGCCTCGGGAACCTCACTGGGGAATACAGAGGTGGCCCCTGCATGGGAACATGGAGAGGGGTAAATGGAGCGTGGAGCATATGTGCTCAGAACAGTGCCTGGGACACAGAACACTCAGCAAATGAGTGACAGTGACACTGATGACACTGGCCTGACTTTGCCTCCACTCTGCCTTTCTGGCAGATTGTGTAAGTCTCTGGGCCTCAGTTTCCCTCACTTCTCAAAGGAAGACTATCAGATAAAGGGCCCTGATGCTCATTCTGTGTTCCCTCAGCCAACAACATTACCATCACCCACGAGTGTGTAGGAACAAAAATTCTCCAGCTCTTCCCAGACTGACTCGGTCTGAGACTCTGCGAGTGGTCTCCAGCAATCATGTTTAACAAGCTCTCCTGGTAAGTCTGATGCACATCCAAATTTGAGAGCCTCTGGCATAAAGGGTTAATTTGTATTTTTTTTAACTGCCAGAGGGCACGTGCACTCACCAGAGAGAGAGACAGAGAGACAGAAAGAGAAAGGAGAAAGAACCCAACAATGGGGCTTTCTACCCTCTGCAGTCCTTTCTACTCCATTTCTCCATCCTGTTGGAATTGGAGGCACAGATGTACACATTCCTGGAATGTTTCTCAAGCCGTGACTGGGATTCAAATCATGGTCAGCCATGTGGGATCCAGTTTCTTTAACCACTACACAATGGGACTAGCCTGATTGTGTAATTTCATAAATGACATAAACATGTTTTTCTAACACAGCAGTGAGAAGACAGGTGTATAAAGCAGATCAGTGTCACAGCACTGGGGTTGAAGCAGACCCTCACAGCCACCACTCTGCCTGCATTCCCATCCTTGCGCCCCCACTCAGAGCCTGCAGACCCCAGTGAGAAGGCCACGATGAAGTGAAAGCTCTCTCCACCCTGTGTCAATTTCTCCTGCCAACCAGAGTCGAATGCTCCTCCGCCTGCCTTCTCTCCTTCCTTCCCTCCCACCCAGCCTCCAGTCCTGTTTACGTGTTCCGTAAAGTATGGATTTGCCATGGCCTCGTAAAACCTGGTCTCTTTCTTCTTTCCTTCTTTATTTTTTTAGAAATAGGTTTGAGCCTGTAATTCAGTTAATTATTTCCCAGAGCTCTGGTTTGGTGGCTACAGCACAGCACGAAGCAGAGAAACGGAGACAGGTCCTCGGAAGCCTCTTTCCAGAAAATCTAATTTCATCATTGAGAAATCTTCTGTCTTAAACAGCCTCCGCCACCGCCATAAATTTACATATTCTATATGCCGCTGGAAAGGAGTGGGCTCTATTTGCATAATGCTGCTGGAGGGGCTCGTGCTCCTCTTGAACTCGAATGCAGCAGGAGCGAGGAAGCAATTATTAAGCTGTAGACATTGGCAGGAAGAGGGGCCTCAGATGGATTTTGACTCTGAACCTCGTTCGCCGCCCGGGCTGCTCGTTACCAAAGGCCTGGATCCCAGGCTGGTGGTGGACCTGAGGGCAGGGGCAATGGGCCAGCTGCCTTCTTCAGGCTATGGCTGTAGCCAGGCGGAGGCCCATGTGGGTGGTAGCTTTGGTTTTCTAGCCATGATCACCAGAGCAATGGTCTTTCCATTCTCACAGTTGATTCATTTCATGGACAGTTTTCTCATGTTCCCTTTGCCCGTACCTTCCTGCCCCTTCCCCTAACACATCTTCAAATACCTACAAGACAGGTCAGGGAGGGTTTGCTCACTTCCTGCCAGCAGCCTATCACAGACCACTCAGCAATGCCTAATTAACAGCAACTGATGTTTAACCAAGTCCCAGTTGGATATTGGCAAGTGGCAATAGGAATTCACTC